CTTCCCGCCTCTTCCGCTTGTTTTTCCCAACAATAACGCCTACGCTGGCCCTCGTTAATAAATGCCCGTGTATCTTATCTACGGCCAGGCATTACGGTAACATTATTGCTTGATAATGCAATAAGCTTTTATCTTCGCCTATAAATATACAACGTATTGCAGCGAGTATATCGCGGCTGTTTCGCGCAGTTACGATCCGCGTCCCGAGTACACTCGTCATCCGTGTATTTTCTTTCCAATTCGATGATTACCCGTCGAAACCGGTGATAATTTCTCCCGTTCGGAAATTAAACGCCGAGATTACCGAGAGTTCCTCGTTCTTTTACAGCCGTATGAAAGTTAAACGCGATTATCGTCGTTACGCGACTCATCCTCCTCGTCGTCGTCGTCGTCGTTGTCGACGCGGTCGTGGGTCGAAGAGAGAAACACGGGAATAAACGCGAGAGAACCTTTTTCCCGTGGTAACAGGAACCCGGCGTGAAACGTCTTGATAGTAAGTAAAAGCTCTCACCTCGACGTCCGCGAGTAAATATACCGAAGCTCGGTGCAACCTTAAAAACTTTTCGTAATAAATCAGTGCACAATACGACAGGCTGGAATCGGACAAATCTCGTTAGTCGAGTCGAAGAAGTTTGTGCCGAGAGAAGGAGAGAGAGAGAGAGGGAGACGGAGAAAGAGAAAGAGAGAAAGAGAGAGAGAGAGAGAGAGCAGAAAGGCCGGTTCACCTTGGTTGCTGGAACCCATCTGCATGCGGGGACCACGGATGAAGAAGAGAGGTGAAAAGGATAAACGAAGGAGAAGAGGAGGAGGAAGAAGAAGAAAAGGAAATCGAAGCTAGGGGAACGACATTCCAACTGGGGTCGGGATGGGAAGCGTCATCTCTTGGAAAACCGACGCTACCTTTCTATACGTGTTTCGCCAACCGCTGTGCACAACTGGCGCCGCGGCGGCTAAATCTCGTCGATCGGAATATGGCCGCCGCCGCCGCCGCCGCTGCCGATCGCGTCCCCCGGTTTCTTCCCTCCCTTTTTTTTTCTCCCCCCCCGGGATAATTAATACCGCCATAGGTTTTCCCGCGGATGGAAAAATCTGCGCGAGAATGGACGATGGAAATAATTAGAACGAGGCTCCGCTGGCCGGAAAATTTCTCCGCTGGAATTATAAAACGGGCGGCGATCAGATAGCAGGAATCGCGCAAACGCGGGAATATTTTAATCCCGATCCGCGATATAACTTCCGTAAATCAGATTACAGCGAATAGCGCGTTAAATCATAATGTACGGGCGCGTATTACGTCAAACGAGTAAATTACATTATTAATTCTTCAAACGCGATGCTTCGCTTAGCGGCTGTCTCTGTGACGAAGAAACATTACGAATCGCTAATGCCGGCGCTGTTAATTGTAATTGATTGCAGCCATATCGGAACGCACCGCCGAGATTTCATCCTTCCCTGCGAAGCTTCGGATAAAAAAATAAATTGCGGATAAATAGGAAATAAATCTCGCGGAAAACGTTATAGCCGGAAAATTATAAGGGACCGGGAATTTTTAATACGTGCGCGTGTGCAGCGGGTAGAAAAAGAGCGCAAATACGGCGAGTTTTATGCGTTTAAAAAGAAGAAAGAGAAAAGGAAAAAAGGAACTCTATGCTTAAATCTCCATAACGTAGCGTGTAGAATCGCGTGAGACAAACAAATATGCGGAACGTTGCGCAAGCCTTAATTAAAGTGAGCGCCGTCTAATTAACGTAGAACATACAGTTTACTCTTATCGGAACACGATGTTCATTAGGAAAATTGTAGACTGGCCCGCTAATTACTTTTCAAACGTATCAATAAAATTGGACACGCGCATCAACGCAGCCGGGTAGCTTCGTTTATATCTCGTTAAGGAGCAAACGATTGAAAGGTTATATTTCACATTTACATGAAATCGCTATTTCTAGCCGTTGCTTAAAACGCGGAAACGCGAGTCCGGCGTTAGCGAACCGCGAAATAGGAGTAATCCGTAAAACGCTTCATCCTTCACCGGCAAAGAAACCGTGTAGTTAATTCGAATTCGAGATTACGGGGGGAGAGAGAGAGAGAGAGAGCTGCGATACTACCGGGGTGCAAGGTTCACTTACGAAAACACTTACGGCGTGGATGTGTGAAATAAAACGGAATTACCACTGGAAGGCGGCCAAATTGAGTATGGATTTTTAATTGTTACGGCGAAACGCGACCGCGGCAGCGTCGTTTCAGAAATACGGAATCGAGAGTAATGCGGTGCCGCGCGTCGATGCGACGCAGTCTCCGCGTCGGTTTAATTAAATGACGATAAATCGGACGAAACGGGGATAATTTTACAGAATTTTGATAGAAAAATTTTCGAGCATTCTTTTCGATGGATTTCGAGCTCCGAGGTTATTATACCGCGCGTATGTACCGGATTCGCGTCGATAGCGACGAGAATATTTTTAGGAGGCCACGGTACGTGACGTGGACGATTATACCATCGCTGTGAACAACTTTCCGAAGAAAAGGTTCGTGTGCGTCGGAGGAGAGAGAGAAAACGGATTAGGGGTTGGTCGAAAGGCGGGTTCGAGAAATCCCGCGGATTTTCGGCTCTTCCTCTCTCTCTCTCTCGCTCTCTGCTGCTCTTCCTCTCCGCTACCCTTCGGGATCTTTGTACACCCCATGGGAAATTGGCCTAAACGGGGTTGTCCAAAACAGGTTTTCGAAGATCATCGCGTTTCGAAGAGTAGCCGTGCTTCGAATGACCGCGTGACAAATGGTTGCTCCGAAACTGCCACGCTGCGTTGGGGGACTATCGGCCTCGTATCGGATGATACGACGTATTCAAAGGAGAATATAGTCTATCAAAGATGAACCTACGGCTAGAGAGGAGAAGAACGATTCATTTTCCGTTTCGATACGCGCCACGAACATATAACGTCGTAAAAGCCAGATTGTTTCGCGGGAAACGCGAAGGGAGGAAGGTTAAAAGATAGGAAAAAGATCGAATCGCTGGAAGAGTACTATAAAAATCAAATGTAACATTCGTAATGTCGGCACAAGCTGTTACGACGTTTATCGGTTGCGAATAAAAGGAGAGAGAAAAAATGTGGAAAGGGGAGAAATCTGACTTGGTACGGTCCTGATCCGAAGTTATCCGAGCTCCGCGAGAGAGCCGATTATATTAAATGGCTGGTAAAACGGTCTGCTTAACATAGCGTTTATCTGCTCCTCTTGGTTTTAGTACTTTTTCACTGCCTCGTCAGCCATTGCCCATAAACTCTACTACAAGCCTTGCCTCTTTTTCTCTCTTCATCCCCCGTCGCTTGCTCTCCGCTACCCTGTACATTTTTCTCTGTACCTTCGTCTGACCTACGCGTACACGCGCGCACCCATGTGTCTGCGCGAGAACGCGCGTGTATACTTAGCGCGACTCATAAAGAATATAGAACCATTAAAACGACTCATCCTCTTGAGTGTGCTCATCATACTTTGACGCCTTTTTTGTTTACATAAATCCCCTTTACGTTCCCGACTCTGTTTCACTTTCCGTATCAGTCGTCGAAAGAGCTCTTTCATGAATGTAATTACGGATGACCGTTCGAGTTCAGCCGAATGTTTTGCCAAACGTTCGTCCAAACGAGTACTAGCGCCGATATATGTGCGACACGCTCGCGTGATATTTTACGTGGCAGACGTTCGTGAAAAGAAAACATTCGTAAAAAATGCAAACGACCGATACGTAATCAATAATTACGACAGCCTTGAATTCTTAATTATCCAGTTACGATACAATAGGAAGAGACGTGTATGTCTGTTTCTCTTTCGAGGTATATACACACGCACGTAACCACGATACGTCGTGGAACAAACGTTATTTCTCCGAAAGGGGAAATCCCTTCGAGCATGCAAATAGGAAAAATGGCTAAACCCTATGGAAATAGAAATTTCATTAACGACTTTGCCTCCTAACCTACGAGACGAGCATCGGTTCGGTGACGAGCCGCCGCTTTTTCGAATTTTATCAAAGGAACGTATACAACCGACGTCGTACGTGGAATGTCGTCGACTTGGAACCCTCGACCAGCACAATACCACCCTCGCGGCGAGAAGGAAGAAAACTAGCCGAGTCGCTGGGAAAGGGAGGAACGAGAGAGAAAAATAGTGTGTAGATATACACATATACTTACAGCGGAACGACGTGAAAGAGGGTGGCTTAGCATGAGGGGCGTGGTGGCCGCACCACCCCCATCAAACGACCAGGCAGAAACTACTTTTGGGGTAGCCGACCCATACACCTCCTTCTCCACCTCCCCCCTCCACCACCCTCCTCCCCACCCACCGAGGCAGCTCGAGCCAAGCCGGCCACCCCTCGCACCCCAAAAATAATTGCGCGTTTCGTGGTCTCTTGATCCGCGCGTAAAAGTAATCCAAACATCGCATAAAAATTATGTTTACGAGTTTCGAATGGGCGCAGGGGTCGACCCTGTAGGGTAGACGACACTGCACCACACGCCGAATAGGTATCAACAGTCTCTCTTCCTCTCTCTCTCTCTCTCTCTCTCTCTCTCCCCCTCCCTCCCCCGACGCTCCTCGTCTAGATAGAGATCTCTTTCTAGGAATTTCTTGGATTGTTTAGAACTCGCATGCGAAGCACCGGCGTGGGCGCGCGAGTTACGAGGTGATCGTACCGTACTTTTATGGAGTGTTCGCTTATCTCTTAGTGGCGTCTATGTAATCGGCAATTATTCATCGTAATTTTTGAGAGGCGGTGATTACTAACGTATAACCGGATTATCGCAGCCACGAGAGCATTAGTAACGATAGGAGACATTTTCCCTGCAATTTCCAGTGTTTTCTGTGTGTCCGTAAGTCGATGTTTAGTTCAATTAGTCAATTCGGAGACGAATATAAATTTGAACGGGAAATATCATCGATACACGATACCTTCGAGAAAAGAGTTTGATCGAATAATATGGTAAATAACAAGTAACAACACTCACCTGTTTTCTCCTTGATCTCGCACAGGACCGAAAATAAGGCTGGCTTCATTCTGTGACAGTTTAATGTATGCTTTCTGAAAAAATAAAAGATAAACAAGGTAAATTACATGGAATCGATGGAATAATCGACTAGAGATTTATATCGCGTGATATCTTACGTATATGTCGGAGTAAAATAGAAATTCGAAAATATTTTGAAGCGGAATACGACATATTTGAACGTAACGAGCACAAACATTTTGACAAACTTGTACAATCGTGTACCAATAATGCGAAGATAAACGGCGTCTTATCGCGTACTTGGACACCTATATACAACTTACGTTATAGCTTGCCATTACCAATATACCTACTTATATTCATCGCTTGAACGGTTAGGTTAACTAAAATTGCAAAGCATCGAGGAGATAATGTTTCCGCGAAAGAAAATTTGTACGTAAGACGTTTGGAAAAGAAGAACATAACCTGTACTCGTCGTTACTTCTTGTCATTAATAAATACTCGGAGGCGTAATAAAAAAGATATATATATATATACTGGTGAAATCGATGATAATTCAACGTTATAAAAATATATTACGAAGAAAAAGACGTATCGAAGAGGTAAACGAGAAATTATGAAAAAGAGTGATGCGAAAAGTTTAAAAGTAACGATACATCTTAGAAGTATTAAAAAATGGCGGCTGATCGGATCACGAATGGGACCAACCTCGCTTGCGCCTCGTCCAAGCTCTGATCAGTGATGTTCATAATTTGTTGAAGAATTTCACTGATGTCCTGTTTTCTGGCTTCAACCGCCTGATCGGGACCTTGTGTCGCAGATCCATCTACGGGTCCCATGCTACCGTATCCGGCGGTATTTTGGGCCCCCTGGCCCTGATTACCTCCCATCAAACCAACACCTGATCCTCCGTGTTGCAGCATCCTGCCAGTTTCATCCATCAACCGTGGACTACAGCACTAAGAATATTATTCGCCGCCTTTCCTTCTCCGCTTTTTTTGTTTCCGTCGCAAGAGTGAATTTGTTCACACAACACTCGCGGATGTATATCGTATACCAGGTGTCGCGAAAAAACACGACTGTACAAACAACCGTCCCGCTCTTTCACTTTATGACGACTTCTGTATCTCGAGGAAAATATGTTTCACGCACGTGTTCTATCTCTCTCTCTCTTTCTCTCTTTCTCTCTCACTCGTGCGACACTTCATATGGAAGCCCAGGCAGGCATGCACTTGCAAAAATATAATTTTTCATGAATAATGTACCAAATTCCTTGAGAATACGAAGGGATCTGTGAGTATAGGAGACCTCCGTAATGCGCCGTACGGTCGGCTTGGAGGTTATGCCGCCGTGGCCTTTGTCTCTTACGTATCGTTTGGCGTTTTAACTTGCTCTTGCTCCTCTTTCCCGATCTCGCTCGCTCTCTCGCTCTCTCGCTCTCTCGCTCGTTCTCTCTCTTTCTCTCGCTCCCTCTCTCTCCCTCGCTCGCTCTCTCGCTTGTTCGTTCGCTTACTCACTCTTTCGCTTTTCCTTTTTCTCTTTTCTTGCTATCTCTATCTTTCTCGTTGCCCTTCGTTATCCTTTTTACTTCTGTTTGCCCCTCTTTCGTTCGTTCCTTGTCTCACTCTTATGTATTTCCTTTGCTCGTTTAAGAACACTCACGTTGCGTCTAATAATCGGTTTCCAGTTTGCTGTATACACTATAGAGACGATGAAAATGGTGCCTTCGGCAGCTTTAAACTTGACGGATTGTCGGATTTTACGTATACGCGGTTATGTCGACGGTCGGCGTCGCACCCGGCCCGCACTCCCCTTTCACTCGTTCTTTCCTCTGCTCAGCAAGGATACTTGTACAAGCTGAGGAAAATCGGCGTTCTTCGAGCCATCCGCGCACGGACGTCACACACCAACTCTCCGCCTTACAAGGCAACGCGCGGACCGACCGTTTCTGTCGCTCTTTTCACTCTTCTCGGCCACGAGCGACTGCTACGCTCCTGATACACACGCGTGTTCGTGCGTTCGTGTGTGCATCCAAGCTTGGTGTGCGTACGTGCGTGCGCCAATCGGCGGCCATAATAGCCACCTCGACCAATCAGAACGGCTGATTCATTTCCTTCTTTCTTCGTTTACAGACTTTTCCTCACTCGCTCTCGCATGTTATTGTCCGCGTGCGCATCCACTTTATTTATGATGCGATTTCGCCGCTTTTCGTAATCCCATTCTCTTAACCTGTATCCGTGAACTTCAAATTTTCACAAAGTTTCATGTAAATATCTCAAAACTAGCTTATCGAAACACTAATCCTTAGATCGAAAATGTAAGCATTCGTGAAACAACGCAACGTCTTGCACCTCATATTCCAACAGGCGCAAACTCCGCCCATTCCTCCAACTTTTTTTTTTTTTCGTCACTAATATTAAATCGTCAATTTCCGCGTCATTATTATGTACTTTTATTAAAATATTAAACAAAACTAAATATTTTATCGTGCTTGAACTTTACTGAATGGTATATACGAAATGAAGGTACTACGTACTTGAGAAATGTAAATTATGAGTACGCCAATGCGCAAGTGCATCGTAAAAACATGGCTACATTGTCAACTATTTTTATAACGCGAGAAAATTCGTGTATATACTTGTAATATTTTGTGATATTTACGTTTAGATATTTTAACGTTAACATCGAAGTACAAAAGGACATCTTTTCGTATTATTATTTGAAAAACAATTTATATACATTAATTACAATATTTACTAACATAACAATTAAACACATATTTATGGACATAACATTTCATGTCCTGTTCGAAATCTGAAAGTTGATACATATTTCAGATTTGAAGATTTACAAATAATGCGATTGTATTTCATACTCCAGCTAAATATATACATAACTTTGACATTGATTTGCATAAACACCAATAAAATTTTGTAATATAAATTTATATTACTTTATTTTATGATCATTAGTTTGTAATATATCAATAATATAATTTTTATAAAATGAATTATGAAAGGTATTATGACAAAAGAGGATATGGAAATTATGTTGTACATTTTGCTAACAGTAACGGATTAAATGAGGATACAGTTATGAACCTGTTTTCTCGTTTTGGTAAAGTTGTGAATGTAAACAATCGTGGAAAAAGTTATGGGTTGTGTTTTGTGAGCTATGGAAGTCTTGAAGATGTCAAACGGTGCATTGCTGGTTTTGAAAATGATAAAGTTATTAAAATTTTGCCACATATAAATAAATTTAACATTAACGGTGGAAAGAAACACAAAAATAAAAACAAATCTATGTTTACAAAAGAGTTTGTCGATCAATCAATGCACATGACCTCCAGTGGAAAATATAAATCTGAAGACCAACAGTCGGACAAGGAATCTAATTCAAGTATCACATATAAATTGAAAAATTCAAATTCGTCAAAAATTAGTAGTGAAAATTTAACTTCAGAGGACAAAATATTTGATGAAACAAAAATTCCACCTTTGATGCCTATTGATAGAAAATATACAAGAATTCATAGAACTTCTATGCCGTCCACCAAGTTTGTTCCAGCAGAAGAAGTAATTGTAGCTAATATTCACCCATGTTTAAGTATACATTATATATTACATCTTTTTGAAAAACATAATCCAATAGCAATATCAAAGATGATGACTACAGTAAAAACTGGAATATCATATTGCCATGTTTATTACAAAACATACGAAGAAGCAAATGCAACTACAGAAGAATTTGATAAGTGCTCTTTATTTGGGAAAAATCTTATTGTTCTAACATCATGTCAATTAATGAAGGAAGCCTCGCAATTATAATATTTAACGATTTTTAATTATGATTTATGACTGATTTTATTATTACTGAACTATGTAATATAACACAGACAATATCTGCATGAATTTTTGTCCTAAAGATTTTTTTTTTTTCTTCAACTGTGATTTTTAAGTATAATTAAATTTTGTTTTTAATTTAAGGAAATTATGATACATGTCTATTTGCCTGACAATATCATCGATAATCTATGCTTTACAATATCTGTACATTTCATAAACATTATTATTTTTAATGTATTGTAATACTACTAATTTTACATCATTTATATACAAGATTGGAAATATTTCTGTTTTTATTAAATTTTATAAAAGTTTTATTTCTTATATAATTATGATACTAGTACTTTTATAAAATTATTTTATAAATTTAATATAAAATTTATTAAGTTGTATAAAATTGTATACTTTTAATAAACTCAATGAAGTTCGGCAATGAGTTTGCGCGTTAGATTATAGTCTCTAACCTATATGTTAAAATACGCGGTTCTTCGTTGGCTGTAACTTGTTATTTTCTAACATTACATTTCATTTACATTGTGGTATTACGTGTGTGCATTGTGAGAAATATGCAGTTAAAAATGTCTAAACCATTTAATCAACGTTTTGTGAAACAGTTATTGCAACAAGAAAACGAATTCATTTCAAAAATATTTTCAAAAATGCCATTGCCTATGTCTGAACTAGGTAAAAGTATTAAAAGCTAACATAACCTTAAAAAATATTTACAATAAACTAATCAAATTAAAATTTTATTAGTTTCAGATGACAAAGATAAGATAGTTACATATAATAAAAAAAGCACGTCAGAAGGTTCTTATTTCTAGCTATTTCTGTATAAAATGTAATTTAGCTTATTTTAAATTGTTTATTTCATATTTTGCAGGTAATATTTTTCCAAACTTAACTGGAAAAGCAAAGAGAGCGCAGACATTCGAGGAACTACATGCTAAATTAGAGGGATTAAAAAATGTTAAACGATTAGGATATCAAGAGAAACAATTGAAAAAAAATTTGAAAACCAAAATAAAAAAGATATCGAAAAAAAAAAAGCAAGTAACACAAAATAAGGTAGCAAAAACGGAACAGAATGTAACTGGTATATCTAAAATAAAAAAAGAAGACAGCGAAGTACCAAAAATTCCAAGACCAAAGCCAGTATTTAATTCGGAAGGTAAAATGGTATTTAGCAAATTTGATTTCTCTGAAATTGGGACAAAAAAAAAACCTCCTAAAAAGGATGCAAAAAAGATGTTGCTCGAGTTGAACCAAAAGAAAGAGAAATTAAAAGAAATGGAACGATCGGGTGAAACAGAGAAAGCAGAAGAAATTAAAGAAAAAGATGCATGGAAGACTGTTTTGGCAAAAGCCAGTGGAGACAAGGTAATAAAGAAATGATTGAAAATTTTTTTGGACAACTTTCAAAATTTTATAAAGTAACAGGTTAAAATGGTAGCTTTTATATTAAACCCGTGTAATATTTTTTGATAGGTGAAAAACGATGCAGATTTACTTAAACGAACATTAAAGAGGAAAGAGAGTCAGAAGAAACAGAGTGCTAAAAAATGGAAATCTAGACTAGAAAATGTACAGAAAGGAGTTCAAGAAAGACAAGAAAAACGGCAGGATAATATTATGAAAAGAAAGAAAGAAAAGAAACTGAATAAGTTAAAAAAAGCAGCTAAAAAGGGACGAGTAGTATCTGGATTTTGAATGTATCATAAAGAATTATAGATAGAATATAGTTATATTCTGCATAATTTAATTAATTCTTTTTTATGTTAAGAACAATTCAAAATATATGTAAATAATAACAGACATTCGTGAGAACATTTTTATCGATATCGGAGTACAATAGAACTGTGTTTACTTATTTTTATATTTATATAGTTTGGTTATTTACATCTTATATATATGTATGACAATATTTAATATCAACAATTATAAAATCTATTTTAACATGTACGCGTTGAAGTATGAATTTTGTAAAATCCGAATGTAAGTCTTATGTACACAATGCGATTGTTTATTATCATTTATTTACATACTGTGATTCTTGTTTGTACATTGTGTTAACAAATTCTTATTTACACTAATTTAATGTAGTGTACATTATATCATTTATCTTTTATGACGTAAAAAGCAGCCTGTCTATAGAATGTTGTACAGCTAGTCAGTATAAAATTTACTCGTTAATTTTGAATACACGTGCAAAACATTCTCCAGAGACGATACGTATTCGATCGTTTAATGTTTTTATATTACAAATTATTTTTTGTTGCGGCACTTCCGATGATATATCTTCATGATTTATTCAAGATCTTGAAATCGAATCAGATCAATTTCGTATATTGTAATTGTTCGTAATATATATCTCTTTATAAATCCTTTAATAAATTATGGGTAAGTCGAGGACGAGAGCTTCGATGTAGCCGCCCTCTTCCACCTCCTGCTAGGTATCTCCAAGAGCAGAAGATACAGCGTTAGCGTGTGTCAATGCCGTCCATAGAGGGCTATGATCTACGGGTAATGGTACCACTGATTTTGATGGTCGAGGAGACCTGTGCAAAACGATAAACGATTAGCTCGCGTTAATGTTTCTTCTCGTTCTGAATAGCATATCAGCTAATTTATTATACGAATGGTAAATATCCGTGAAGTTGTAACTATTAAACACGATACCACGTCGGCAATGCAGGAACTCTAACAATAAGTATACGTATATTTCGAGAAAATTTTCTGGTAACAGATAAATCAACGGAGTAACGGGAATATTCTCTTTTTACAGCTTTCGATCCACAAATAAATTATTTTTCTTACGTTTAATTACTGTTTTAATTAAAAACAGTATCAATACTTATTACTACGCGTGGTACGTATCTAGGGAATAAGCAACTGACCTAGGTGGTACCAAAACTGGATGCTAATCTGGACTACTGAGTTCCAATGCTGTGCTCTGTTCAGGATCGGATCGTTCTTCGACCACCGTGTCCAGTTCCAGCGATGGCAGGGCCTTAGATCCTCGATCGCTTCGGAACGATACCGCTCTCGTTGGTCGATCAATTCCAGCTATCGCATAAACGTATCGGTATTAATACACCGTGGTAACAACAGAAGTATTTGATCGTAGGAAAAATAGTGTCTACCAAATCTGTAAATAAAAGCGCATTTTAAATCATCATTCGAGTAAAGATCAATATCGTATAAATGCAATCTAATCACGAGATTACGCGATTAAAATGGTTAATCCGAAATGATTAAAGTACAGTTTTCATATACGCTACATATGCTTGCATAGCAAATAGTTGAAAGTCATGCGACTGTAACCATGTTAAATACGCAATGTGTACATGCCTTTGGATTACGATTAAAATTTAGCCAAGCTGCGTATATCTTCTGCGCAAAGTTGCCCAACTTTCCTTACTTCCGATCTTTACGATTGCGATGCATATGTTAAGCTGCTGCGAGATAATATTCGTGACAAAGTATTATTTCAGATGCGTTTCGATGCAGTCCATCACCCTACGTGTCAATTTCGCACGAGTTGCTTCTATTGTCTCTATTCCTACCGAACCTTTCGCAGAATTTCAAGTAAATTCTATATCAAGTATGAAACGATGGTAGCAATGGCGGCAAACGATTATGCATTAAGTAAAAAAGAAAACTGTATGGCTGCTCCGAGAAAATTCTAACATCTCTAGAGACCAGGTCAAGCAACAATTAGGCTAGTAAAATATTTTACCTAAATCCTCTTTAGATGCTGCACTTGACGGGATAATAAAATAACGAATATATATTTCGGCTCAAAGACTTTTCCACCATTTTTATTCCGCGATTGATTTTACCACGTTAAGCACGAGCCTCGAAATGCAAATTTTTTTCCCACTATCTGGCCCGAGACCAGTTTTCTATTAATCGGAACCTTGACACACGTGTGCCCTAAGTTGTAACTAAACCGCTCATTCATCACATTTGGAAGCCCATATATCAAGAGTCAGAGAACCATGACTGGGCACAGTAGTCGTGTATCTTCAGAGTCAGCCGTGTACCATAAATATCGCGTTTTCTATGCATACGTCGTTGGGTACCGAAGAAATAAAATTTGCGATCACGTGTATTCCGTTATTGCCATGTTCGTAATATAACGCGATTAAAGGAAAATTAACGTCACGATTTTGGATCAGGATTTAAATACCGTTGGGCAATTAAACGTTACGAGAAAGCAATAAAAGTCGATATTCCAGCCATTTAACTTCTCGATACTTTGTTCCAGATTAAACGTTTTTATCGGAAAACATAGTCGCGTGAACATGAACACGGCATCTGCTTTTGAAATATTCTGGAATCGGTGCATGAACTCTAACGGATATTCAGGCCAGCATTCAATCTCGTTTAATACCTTTTCCGTTCCTTTTATATATACACACATACACCGTTATATGCGAGTATATACGTACCTATTTATATAAGTACATATATTTTTACATGCACCTTATGTTACCGTATATGCTCCATTTACGAAAGTATGCTATTAGGCTATACGTATTTACACGGGTGCATGTAAGTGTGCATTTGAATACACAGGGACACGTGTGTATGTATTTAACCCTTTTAGACAGAAAAACGGGAGCAAAGGATGTTAAGGAATTCGTGGCTGACAAAACACAAATGTTTCGCGACCTCGATCCTTTTTTCGTATTTTGGAAACGTGTATACTGGAAAAGATTGCTTTCAAGGATGTACGAAGCTTTAATTTCAAACGTAATTGCGATAGCGTACCACGATGGAAATTGTTTAACACCTATGAGAATTGCACGTTTCAAACGACGTACATTCGCATAACGAGTACACTTTGAGTTTACCCTTGAAACTTACCTAAACGATGAACTGGGCTAAAACGAACGAGACTAAGGGCGCCATGATCTATATCGCAATTTCTTCTTCGAGCCCGTTCCCTCGCGAGCTTTGCTCTTCTTCTTAAGCAACAAATGACCATTAGCGCGAGCAATGGGAATCCAAGTATGCACGATACTATTGGGATGATAATACTCTCCGGAGTGACTAAAAATAAGAAAATACAAAATTCGTTTAATGAGTCAGTCGTGAGGTCCTTTCGAGCACCATTCGACTCGTCGTGGAATTTCTAAACGAATGGACTATCAATCGAGGCATTCCAAGCATCATTGGTCTGTCGCGTTTGTCCCTGCAAGTTTCGCTTGTTAAACACACTGAGCAAATCGAGAAACGCAATTTCCCACTTCATAAGCTCGAGAAGTTTCGGAGCTGAATAGTCGCGTTACGTCTCGAAATAAATGTGGTAGAAAGCGTGGCATTTCTGTCATTCGTGCAACTTCCCAGCAACCAAGATAATTTTACCCTGCATCGCGTTATGACGTATACGTAATCGCTTTGCGAAATTGTTATTCTCAATTGCGAAGACTGAGCGAATTTTCCAATACACCGGTGCTTATTATATACCGGCCATGGAATTAGCTCGGAGCGAATACTATTAATCTTCAGAAATGATAGAGTGCCTCGTGAAAAACGTTTTATCCGGCAGAGTAAACAGAAGGGACAGCATATTACGCTAGCATAAATATGCTTTGAATAACATAATGACATGGTACATATTATAACCAGGATAATAATATACTGGGGATAATGATAACTATAACCAGCGCAATAATATTATCTCGATTTAAAAATTACGTTATTAATAATTCATTAAATATGTCGCAATTAGATGTCTAGGTAGTTGCTAATTGTATCGTGCTTTTACTCTCCATTAGTCTTGCAATTAGATCTCTGACAATGAGATTCAGGCACAATTACTTGCTTGGTTGCTTTTTCGAGTACAACGAGCACTTTTCTGTCATGGGTAGATTCTAATGAGATATGTAATTCTGTTACAATTCCGTCGGTAATTAAATTTTTTCATTCTCAAAATGTAAGGAAATAATTACCGCGTGCAATTTCAATGGGATTCTAGTAATTTCGTTGGAAATTCACGGTCTGCGTGACTATTCTGCTCGAACGGGCAGAAATAGTGAGACTTTTGAAATAAAACTACTTTTCTCGTTGGGAATATAAATGTATTTTGAACAATTTCAGTTTTAAATACTCGATGGCTCGGATTTATTCGCGAATACAGTTAGAAAATATCTTTTCGTAGAAAATTTGCGCTGACGTAGTCTCACCTGTCGGATAAACTAAAACCGTTGGTCTCTTGGATTGTGGAATTGTTGGCATTGTTGGTCGACCCGCTCTCACTTCGACCGACATTTTGCACTCGATCTGGAACAAAGTTAGTCCTTCGAAATCGCCAATGAGAAGCAGCTATTACGTAGAAATTAGTCGATAACTTCGATTCCATTTTTCTTCTAAAGATCGTTTAATATTCTCGACTTACTGTTCGCCTTGTTCTATCGCTTAGAACGGGAAAATCGAGGCCTCTAGCGTTTAACGTCGGGCTTTTAATTCCTCCTTTGTCCTTTCCACTTTTCCCAACAAAAAACCGAGGCCGTGTAAACGAATACAGCTAAAAAGAAATTTCATCCGATAATAATCATATATTGCTTATACTTCGTTCGTTTCTTGCGAATATATATATATACAATGTTATTTGATTTTATACGATTTTCTATAAAACTGAAACTCGAATATATATAGAGCTTTTTCTCTCTACGATTAATTTAATTTAAATATAACATCGATTTATATATTCTCAGGTATTTATAATAATTTTATTTATCTATTACATCGAAACAATTATTTTAAATTTTACAGAATTATTTAAATATAGCGGACATGATATATTAATTACAATTTCTGCCGTAGGGTGACGCGCCGGTAGCCAGTAGCCAAGATGGTGAATATACGCGGTGCATATAAAGCAAGTGACAATAACAAATTTGCTTCGACGAATGGTAATTTTGTGACAGAGATTCGCGTGTCGTGTGATTATTTAACGAAGAGAAACGTATTCGCTCTCGTGGATCTGTGTAGCGATAGATCGGTGAAGTGATCGAACGAGAATGCTTCTATCGCTTTCCCGCGCTCGAAGCACGACAATGCTGGACGAAGCTAACCAAAAAGAAACACGTCGTAATGAAATTTCCAAGGTAAGAATCCGTCGTAACATAAAAGCGGCAGATATTTATATGCTCATAGTAGTTTCGCGAAAATAAAATTTGCGTCGATAAGGGACACGTGAATGTACACACGAATACGTAACTGTTGTTATCCGAGTCGCTTCAAAGAATAGTGCTATTTACACTGCTTTGTGACACTCTTTTTGTCGTTCTTTCCTCTCTTCGTGCTCGGAAAAGCAATAACGTCAGGCAACGGTGTGAATATCGAGATGGTTCGGAAAGGTTTGCCGGTGTGTAGAGGCTTTTAGAGCTCCTTCGTGTTTGAACGCTGTGCAGTGTCGCGAGAGGACATAATTTCAGTCGGTTTCGAGTCGCAAGGAGTTTAAGGGATCGTGCTACGTACCGTTCTACTTCCTCAATGCGCATGCGTAACGCAGGCAGACCGGGCAGCGAATGAAATTAGTCATTCCCTTGCTCTCATTGGACATTCGAACGTCACGTATGACAAATTGTTGTTTTCTTTTTCGCCTCGATGTTTCGAGTTTTTCGACGTACTCTCCAATCCAATCGCGATTAAGCAACGCAATATCCCGTTGCGGTTTAATTAATCCCTCGTGTATAACATCAGACATTCGGATCGAGGTTGATCGGCGCAAACGAGCGACTTTAATTTCCCTGGCACGGTGTGGTGGGTAACTAGTCGCGTCGGATGTCCTCCTCGCTTTCAGGCTTCGTCTAGTTTTTGTCCTGGCTTGCCGAATATTGCCTCTGTAAATTGTCCTACATACACGAGCTCGCTTGAAAGAGGCTGGTCTGCCACGAGTCCCCCGGGAGGGCGAAGCTCGATGGAAAGACTCCGTTATCGTAGCTCAAAGAGTCAGTTTCGAAATATCAAACAATTTCGCTCCTTTTTTTCCCCCTTTCTCCGCGATTACCTCGTCTATCGAAGGATAACCGAGACGAAAATAACCTGACCTATTTCCCCATCGAGTTTTCCGCCTATATCTTCGACTATGGACACGTTTCTATATCTATGCCGGCTAGATGGGTCGCATTGTTTATAAGACGCGTTCGAGGAATAATGTTCGCGAGCGAAGGCGAAACTTGTTGACCCGAGAGGGTCATCAATTCCATCGAGGCTCTTGGAGTCGCTCCAGAACGTCGGTCGCGTTCATTCTTCCCGCATTTCGCCGTTTCTGGACCACTCGACTGGGACATCCCGTGGCGCGCGAAAATTACCTGTCGCGGTGCAGAAATTTCAAATGCTATTCAGCCGGGTTCGGTATTCTTGCGCGAGGAAGTAGGTCTGCGGTGACGCACGATCACGCGGACGAAGCCTGGACCTTTCCTGCGGCTTGCGGACATTGTCGCGTGCTGGTATCATTCTCGTCTCGACATTACGTGCATATTAGTTTCAAGGATTTTCTCGCAAGTCTCCGGTAAACCCTCCGCTTCTCGTATACAGAATTTCCAAAACTTTCCAATAGTATCCCCGTCTTAGGCAAAGCCTGTTAGGTAGCCTTTATCGACGAGCACCACAAGCAGGCCCATTATTCTTAACCCATTTGCATCATGGCTCTACTTAAGGTGCCGTGTTCAGGCATCAGCGACGTTTAACTGACGACTAGCTCGTACCACCGCGCGCGTATCAGCACCTACTCGCAATGGCAATTAAAAGGATTTTCACGACAAAAGTAAAACTTGTTAAGAATATAATGAACCGATGTAGATGAGATGCTCACAAAAGGGATCAAGCGTGATCTGTGGCATATGAAGAATATTCAGCAACAGGTAATGGAAAAAGTCAGCTCGCGGATTATTCCGCGCTCGGTGATAGGCGACAGTCGTAGCTCGCGGAATATTCCGCGCTTGGTGATAGGCGACAGCCGTGGCTCGCGGAATATTCCGCGGTCAGTGATAGGCGACAGTAGTGGCTCGCGGAATATTCCGCGCTCGGTGATAGGCGACAGTCGTGGCTCGCGGAATATTCCGCGCTTGCATGCAAATGGGTTAAAACAGACTCGATTTTCCGAGCTCGCGGAATCGAGACTCCCAGGGAATACTTATCGACCCTGCCGAATTTTTTCGCTGGCCAACCGTTCATGTTTTTGCTCCAAGAGCTGCTTTGCTCTCACAAGGAGCGACGTTCGAACGTGCAAAAATGCCCGGCATTCTAACCACCTATGAGAGGCTTCATTTGCATTATCTTCGAATTACATGCGCCTTATCGTCACCCCAGCAGCGTGTCGTTCCCCTTTCGACTATTTCGCAGCCGCGCTCGCGGCGCGGTTAATTTACCGAATCTGCGGCTCGCGGAGGAAACCAGCTTTCGAGTTGCGTCAGATTAGATTAGCGTTATTTACATACGTTATCGAGGGTACATATTCCGTGCATTACCGCCAGAGTTATTGCGATCTTTGCGCACGCCGGCTTGTTACAAATGAACGGGTTTGTTCTTAATCATACACGTCTCTCTAATTGTGCCGGAGCCAGCAACAGGGAACCATTCCGCCGCGATACGCGAATTCTCGCGAATTTTCCAACCCGTCGTGCACACCCGTGCCCGCGTTACATCCCGACAAGGTTGTTCCGATTTCCCCTGGACCGAATAGTCCCGGATAATTCGACCGCGTTGTTGGCCAAACCGGTCGATGTGCCTTGCCCGCGAAACGCTCGATGACCAGCCGATGTAGAACTGTGCAACCGGAAAGTTTCGAGATCGCTGGATTCTCAAAGGATCATCGAGATCGGCACGTGGATTACGCCTCGTTTCCTCACCCAGGATAGCGTTGTTTCTCTGAAATCCAACCGAGAATCCTCCACCATCGACTCCGTTCGCCGTTCAAGCACGTTCGAGGGTGCGGAACAGTTTAACAAGTTCGGTGAAAGAAAAGCGAGCACTCGATTTATATTAGCTTCCCTGATTTATTTAAACCCGTTGTTAGTTACGAAAATCGTGGTTAAGGATTTTTGGAAAAGTCCCTGATTTAACTGTGCGATGTCATTGTTCCGTATTACCTTTTTTCAAAATGGCCTATCGGTGTGCAGGATTCCAGCCAAATGGAGTTAGTGACAGAAAAGAGACAAAGAGGATTTGGAACTATAGCATATTCCCTAGGCATTGACGTTCAAACATTTCAGTTTCCCTGAATATTAGCAAAATGGCAGCTATTTACCTATCGAATTTTCACGAAAAGTGTTTACGTTTCTTGTTAATATTTTTCGACATTGTTAACAATTTTTAGAAAATCAAATAATAGTGTTTAATAAATATCGTGATTAGGATATCCGCGAAGTTTCGAGATAATCGGTTGATCGGATTTCGAGATATTTTGCACACCGTTTGTAGAAGCACAGTTTGGAGGAAAACTCGTTTAAAGTTTCGAAACGTAATTTTTCACGCGTATCCTTTATTTTTCGCTAATCAGTCATTCCTGTCTCGCGCATATGATCGTCTGCTTCGATTTTAGGTTATTGCAAGACTATCCGACCGAATATTCGGGCGATTCGATCTTCTTCAGGGTTTTCAAACGATCGTCTATTAGCTGTTTTAATCTTTTCTTCGTCGCTACTGGTCTCGTGATTATATTCACGACGTTCATAATTAATAAGACACCGGGAAAACCTTTATTAAAGATATTAGCAGCAATATAAGCAGCAATCTTCGAGCTTGTAACGACGCTTAATAAACTTTCTGTAGCTAAAAACGCCAGGAAGTATTATCGAAACTTCACTTTGATTTTGGGTTAATCCTGACATGTATAATGTACTTAGATCCTCGACTTTTCTGGTATTACGATCTTTAGAATCGGCTCTATGCCCATAGACCATCGGGTCAAGCTGTTATGCATATGTCGATGCGTTTCGTTTCGTATATTATTTTAAGACTAAAAAATAAAATTCGATTTTTCAAAATTTCAGACTGTTCTGCCTCCTCAAGGCTTACAATTAGTCGATCTTTTGTTCTCGCAGCAGCTAATAATTAACCCTTTGCACTCAAGAAACAACTTTTAATCATCGTTGAGTAAAACTTGGAAGATCGATGTTAATTAATATATGTTGCAATTAAATAATTCCACGTGTTAATTAATATACGATTTCTTATTTATCGTTTAAAAAAATATCGTCAGCTTTGTAGCAGAAAATTTTTGAATTTCTACTTTTCTCTAGTAAAAAGATCCTCGAGTGCAATATATAGACTTACTGACAAAAATTAAGAAACAGCGTAATTATTTGGTAATTTTGGTATATTCTCCAGATAGAGAAAAGATTCTTAATCCTTTGCACTCGAGAGGTGACTCTCAGTCACCATTTAATCAGATTCAAAAGATGGACGTTAATTAATATATCAAATTTAAAATTACCTAACGACGCGTGGAATGTCGAAGAAAAATAATTCTACGTCTTAATTTGCATACGATTTCTCATTTATCATTTGAAAAATATCCTCGACTCCATGACAGAAAGTCTTCGAATTACTATTTTTCTGTAACGAAAAAGTCCTCGAGTGCAAAGGGTTAACTTTTGTCAGTAAGTGTATTTAGAAGCCTCTGCTGTTTCTGCTGCTCGTGCTCGTGGATTCGATTCTCTTATTCTTCGTACACGTGTCCTTACATCGGTCCAATCGTCCGTTAACCTCTACTGTATATCGCGCGAAACTCGTAAGGAAATCGAGCCAAACACGAGTGAGACTGTCGAGCGACATAGACGAGGCTCAACGTAAACAAGGCGAGGCTCGCGATTAATTTTCGTCCATGTCCTTCCGTTTCAGTTGCGTGTTATTCTTCGACGTGCCAGGTCGTGCCACCGGTTTTCCTGATGAGCGTGCCACGCCTCATCGGGACTTCGACGCTTCTCGAACCAGCGTTCGATGAGTAATATTCATATCACGTTCTTATAATTATTTCACCGTTCTAAGAAACATTTAGGGTGAACGATAGGGTGGTCCGTGACCGATAGTAGAGTAATCAGTTCGAAGGTTCTCGTCGAACTCAGAGAACACACCTGCGCGATTATTTTGTCAGAAAAACTAGCAATCTACATAGAATTTTAAATAGAAAAATAGTAATTTAGCAGTGTCTCTGCAACCTTTAACGATTATTTCCATTAGTCAGGCCCGTGGTTAATTTAATTTTCGTCGAAGCCTTTCTGCCAGGGTTACGCGTTATTCTTCGTCACGTTGATACAAAATGGCGCGACGTATTATCGACTCTGTTGTTGATGATGGCACGTGTCAGTGGAATTTCGGCGGTTCTCGAACGAGATTTCTATGAACAATATTTATTTTACGATCTTACAATCTTGTTTCCATTGTAAGAAAAATTTGGGGACGGCGATATAGTGGTCCATGACTGATAGTAGGGGAATCAGTTGGAAGGTTCTCGTCGGACACAGAGAACACCTGCGCGATTATTTTGCCAGGAAAATTAGTAATTTAGATAGAAAAATAGTAATTTAGCAGTGTCTCTGC